AAAAGGACTCTCTGACTGCTGGGTGAATAGGCTGTAAGGAAGGCAGGACCGAAGACCAGTTAGTGGGCCATGCAGTTATCCTAGCAGGTTAGGATGGCAGCTTGGCCTAGACAGGTGGAGATGAGACCCCAAAACCCCTTTTCCAATATTAAGAGTGAATGAACATTATTGCTCATTTACCATATGCAGGGCTCTGAGCTCCGTGCTTTCTGTTTATTATCTCCTTTAATTGCTGCAACAACTTCATGTAGTAGGTTCTCATATAATCCCCCATTTTATGCATGAAGAGACTGAGGCTCAGAGAGTTAAAGCAATTTGCCCAAGGTCATGCAGCTCCTCAGTGGAGCATCCAGGACCAGGACTCAGTTCTGAACAAGGTACTCTTGAGCTAGCGCTCTAAATACTCTGAATGTGTATATGTTGGGGGATGGTTTTCAGGTGAGTTCACGGAAGAAGAGATTGAGTTCCTGGAAGCCAGGGGTCACCACGTGGAGAAGGTAGATGTCTTATCCTGGGTCCATGGCAGTCGGAGAACGAACAACTTCATCATCGGTGTGAAGGACCCTCGGAGCCCAGATGCAGCTGGAGCCACCATTGTGTAGAGCAGTGGGGTGGGGTGGGGGTCTCTGTTCCCCCCCTTTGCATGTTCCTAGAGTCCCTCCTTCTCCCAGGTTTGGTCTCAGGGGGACCCCAGGGATGCCCCAGATCAGGGGCCAGAGGGGATGCTTAGCAAACCCTTTCCCAGAGTAACTGGAAAATTCTCCATCCTGGAGGCCTGTGGTGGTGGTGGCAGTGAATGTCAGTGTTCATAACCAGGCAGACAGGACCTTGAAGGGTCAGACTACCTGTCTGTCTCCTTTCCCTCAGCCATGCTGGCCCTAAGCTTAGGGATGTGCTTGCAAACCCTTCTTAAGGGTCCTCACAACCCCAACATCTCCAGTCTGGCCTTCCCTGGGCCTTGTCTTCCAGCTCCCTTCTCCTGTCCTCAGCCTCATTTCTTAAATGACTAGCATTTTTTTAATGGACCATCCTGGGGAGGGGGGTGTTCCTCTCTCCCTTCTACCAGGTTGAGGCTGGGGCATTGCATCTGGGGCCCAGGGTATGGCATAGTGGTGGGGGTGGGGACAAGCTCAGGGGCTTCCATTTGCAAAGGGGAATTAAAGAAAGAATATTGCTTAACCATGGCTGTGGCTTGATTTATGTTTGGCTGTGTTGTGAGTGGAGTGCAGAGGAGACCTTGACTTACCTTGTCTCAGTAGCCCTGACTCCAGGGCAAACTGGAGTCATTTTTGTGGGGGTCACAGTAATATCTCTGTCACCTTTCTAAGACTTGTATGAAGTTAATAATTATTACAGTTCCAGATAGCATCTGTTGAACACTTAATGTGTGCCAGGCTCTATGCTAAATACTTTATGTGGATAATTTTATTTAATCTTCATTACGAACCTCATGAGGTAGGTACTAACATTTTGTCCATTTTTACAGATGGGAAGCTAGTAAAAAAGAGGTTAAGGGACTTGTCTAAGGTTCTTCATACATTAAGTGGAAAAACTGGGATTCAGTCTCAGGATGTTCAACTCTTAATTTGTGCTCTTAACCATTTGCAAATCTACTAGGTAAACTATTTATTATAAAGTATATTGTATACAGTATATATCAGATAAGCAGTTTTTATACAGTATGGCATCATGCATGCATGTATCCATACATTGTATTCCAGGCACTTTGTTAGGCACTGGAGACTCAGCATTGAACAAGAATTTTTTATGGGTTTGCAATATACAGGGGGAATGAAATATTAAAGAAATAGGACACAGATAATTAGGGTAATTGCCATCACAGAAAGCTCTATGAGGGATGCTATGAGAATAACAAAGTTTTTCTAAGCAAAGTTAATCTAAGTCAGGGGTAGGGTGGGACCAGAAAAGGCCTCCCCAAGGAAGTGATGAGGGTGAGTAAGATTGAAAGAAAAAGATTAGATGTGAGATGTGAGAATGTCATTTTAGGCAAAGGGAATACTGGTGAACAAGACAGACAAGGTCTTGCTCTCCTAGACTTCATATTCTTTTTAAAAAAATTTTTTAAATATATTTTATTGACTATACTATTACAGTTGTCTCATTTCCCCCCCTTCATTCCCTCCACCCTGCACACACCCCCTACCCACATTCCCCCTCTTTAGTTCATGTCCATGTGTCATAAGTTCTTTAGCTTCTACATTTCCCACACTATTCTTGCCCTCCCCCATGTCTGTTTTCTACCTACTGTCTATGCTACTTATTCTCTGTACCTTTTCCTGTTTCTCCTCCTCCCACTCCCCTGTTGCTAACCCTCCATGTCATCTCCTTTTCTGTGTTTCTGTACCTGTTCTAGTTGTTTGCTTAGTTTGCTTTTGTTTTAGGTGTGGTTATTAATAACTGTGAGTTTGCTGTCTTTTTACTGTTCGTTTTTTATCTTCTTTTTCTTAGACAAGTCCCTTTAACATTTCATGTAATAAGGGCTAGGTAATGATGAGCTCCTTTAACTTGACCTTATCTGAGAAGCATTGTATCTACCCTTCCATTCTAAATGAAAGGATTGCTGGATAGAACAATCTTGGATGTAGGTGTTTGGATTTCATGACTTGGAATACTTTTTTCCAGCCCCTTCTTGCCTGTAAGTTCTCTTTTTAGAAATCAGCTGACAGTCTGATGGGAACTCCTTTGTAGGTGACTGTCCCCTTATCTCTTGCTGCTTCTAGAATTCTCTCCTTCATTTTAATCTTGGGTAATGTAATGATGATGTGCCTTGGTGTGTTCCTCCTTGGGTCCACCTTCCTTGGGACTCTCTGAGCTTCTTGGACTTCCTGGAAGTCTATTTGCCAGATTGAGAAGTTCTCCTTCATTTTTTGTTCAAATAAGTTTTCCACTTGTTGTTCTTGCTCTTCCTCTTCCCCTTCTGGTCCCCTATAATTTGGATGTTGGAATGTTTATAGATGTCCTGGAGGTTCCTAAGCCTCTCCTTATTTTTTTTAATTCTTGTTTCTTCCTTCTTTTCTGTTTGATTGTTTCTTTCTTCCTTCTGGTCCACTCCATTGATTTGAGTCCCAGTTTTCTTCCCATTACTTTCGGTTCCCTGTGCATTTTTCTTCATTTCGCTAAGTGTAGCCTTCATTTTTTCATCTAATTTGCAACAAAAATCAACCAGCTCTGTGAGCATCCTGATCACCAGTGTTTTGAACTATGCATCTGATAGGTTGGCTATCTCTTGGTCCCTTAAAAGTATGGCTCTGGGGCTTTGTTCTTCCATTTGAGCCATTTTGGGGGGGGGGTCCTGGTTGTGCCTGTTATGTAATGAGGGACAGAGCCTTAGGTGTTCACCAGGGTGGGGCAACCCAGTTGCTGGGTTGTGATACTGTAAGTGGGGATGGGATCAGAGAGGGAACAATGGCGCTTGCTCCACTCTCTCAGATTTCAGTCCCTTCTGCTGTTTCCCACAAGCAAATTGGGGCTTTTCTGGTGCTCGTTCCTGGGTGGGTGGGCTTGTGTATGTTCTAGGACTCTGTGGGTCTCTCCAACGAACTCTCCTGTGATGCTGGGAGTCTCTCCCGGCACCTCAACCCCCGCAAGTGTTTTCAATCGGTGCTTTTGGGCTTTATTTCCCGGGGCTGGGGCCCTGGGTTGCGTGGTCTTTCTCGCTCCCCATTTTTGCCTGGTTAATCTGCACGCAAATGTGTGACTGTGAACAGCCAGCCGCCTTGCATACCTCACTGGGTCTGCTTGCTGCCTCCCTGCACCTGGGGTCTGCCAACTGCCACCTGTGTACCTGGGTCCACTAGCCACCACTTTTTCCTGGCGTGACCCCTCTCTACCAGCTGCCAACTTCGCCTCTCTTACTAGTCTGGATGAATGGTTGTCGGACTTCCATACAGTTCAGTTTTCTGTCAGTTCTGGTTGGTTTTTTTTTTTTTTCTAAATTTTTGTCCTTAATTTTGGTTGTGCGAGGAAGCACAGTGTGTCTACCCACGCCTCCATCTTGGCTGGAAGTCCTAGACTTTATATTCTTAACCACTTTTACTTTAGTTAGACTGCACTATCTTGACCTACTATTTAAAAAACATAAAATTCACTCATATTGAGAACTGAATTTTTTCTGACTATGAATGGAAGAGATGCTTGGAAATTTAAAAAGTTTTTATGGTGATATTCTCTCTGGCCTCAAATTAGCTCCAAGATATAGTACCTTGCTTTTTAAATGGGATATTTTGGTATTTCCTTCAAATCTTGGTTAAGAGATGAAGCTTCCTGATTTCAAAATTTACTACAAGGTTATAGTAATCAACATATTGTGGTACTGGCATATGGATAAACATATCAATGGAATAGAATTGAAAATCCAGAAATAAACCCATATATCTATGGTCAATTGATTTTTGGCAAGAGTACCAAGATTATTCAATGGAGAAAGAATAGTCTCTTCAACAAATGGTGCTGCCACAACTGGATAGACCACATACAAAGGGATGAAATTTGACCGATACTTCACATCATAAAAAGTAACTCACGATGGATCAAAGCCCTAAATATAAGATCTAAAACTAAAACTCTGAGAAACATACAGGTAAATCTTTACAACCTTGACTTTGGCAATGGTATTTTTAGCTGTAAGACCAAAAGCACAAGCAACAAATTAAAAATAAATTAGACTGCATCACGATTAAAAACTTTTATGCATCATAGAACCTCAAGAAAGTGAAAAGACAACCCCCACCAAGTTGAGAAAATATTTGCAACCACATATCTGATAAGGGTCTAGTATCCAGAATATGTAAAGAACTTACAGTTCAACAACCCAATTAAAAGATGGGCAAAGGACTTCAATAGATATATCTCCAAAGAAAATATACAAATGGTCAACAAGTCTATGACAAAATTCTCAATCGATATAAGAAGTCACTAGGGAAATACAGATCAAAATCACAATAAGATACCACTCTACATTATTTATAGGTTGGCTATAATAATTTTTTAAAATCATTTAAAAATATTTTATTTATTCATCTTTAGAAGGGAAGGAGAGAGGGAGAGAAATATCAATGTATGGTTGCTTCTCCTGCGACCCCTGCTGGGAATTGGCCCCTGCTGGGAACTGGACTGCAACCCAGGTGTGTGCCCTGACTAGGGATCGAACCGTGATCCTCTGGTTTGCAGGCCAGTGCTCCATCCACTGAGCTACACCAGCCAGGGCTAAAAATCATTTTTAAGAAAGAAGTATTGGCAAGGGTATGGAGAACTTGGAACCCTCATACATTGCTGGAGGAAATGTAAAATGATGCAGCCACTGTGGAAAACAGTTTGGCATTTCTTTGATAAGATAAACATAGAATTGCCATATGACCCAGCAATCCCTTTCCAGATATATACTCCAAAGAATTGAAAACAGGTGCTCAAACAAGAACTTGTACATAAATAGTAGGACTATTCACAAAAGCCAAAAGGTGCAAACAACACAAATGTTTATCAGTGGATGAATAGGATAAACAAAATGTGATATATTCATACAATATTATTCAGCCATAAAAACAAATGAAATACTGACACATGTTACAACATGGATGAACATTGAAAGCATGCTAAATGAAAGAAGCCATATTTATATGAACTATCCAGAATAGGCAAATCTATGATGACAGAAAGCAAATTAGTAGTTGCTTAGAAATAGGGAAGTGGGGGCAGGGAAATTGGAAGGAGGGCAACATCTAAGGGGCACAGGGTTTCTTTCTGAGGTGATGAAAATATTCTAAAAAATTGACTGGCGATGGTTGCACCTATCGTGACCATACTAAAAAACACTGACATACTCACTTTAAATAAGTGAATTGTATGGTATGTGAATTATAACCCTATAAAGCTGTGTCTTTCTTTAAAAAAAAAAAAAGACATAGCATTTGGCAATATCAACTCAAGCAGAACATGTGCAAACTCTATGACCCGGCAATCTGAGTCTTATGTATATATTCAGCAGAAAATTGTACATTCATCCAAAGACATGTACAAGAATATTCACAGTAGTACTATTAAAAACAGACCTGAAGTGGAAATTGTAATGCTCATCATCGCTTGAATGGGTAAATTGTGATGTATTGAAATAATGAATCAAATAATGAATAATGTATTTATATCAATGAAGCAATGAAAAGGAACAAACTACAACTATTTGTGACAATATAAATGAATTACAAAAACATAAAATTGAGCAAAAGAAGCCAGATTCAAGATTCTATTTATATAAAGTATAATACCTGGCAAGCCTAATCTATACAGTTAGAGGTCAGGATACTGTTTTACCCTCAGGGGCATGAGTAGGTAAATAACTAGAAAGGGGACAATGAGGTGCTTTTGTGGGTTGGTAATGTCCTATTTTTTGATTTGGGAGTTCTTTAGATCACTTTATGAAAATTCACTGGGCTTTACACACTTATGATTTGTGAATTTTTATGTTATACTTTAATTAAAAAGTTGAAAAATGTTAGAATGTTTTTGAAAACAGGCTTTTAAATACTAAGAATGTATCTCACTGGGTTTTTGTTTGTTTTTTGGTCACTTCTCGATACTCTTTAATTTTTTTCAGTCGTGTTATTATCACTCTATTTCTGTTTTTCAGTTTTTTCCCTAAAGGCAAACCATTGCTGCCCATAAATAGGGCTTTCTTCAAAGTAGAAGCGATCCTTCTTTTATTTTTATTGTAGCAATTTTCAACCTTTTTCATCTCATGACACACAAACTATTACTAAAATTTTGTAGCACACCAATCTGACAAGAAAAATAGGTGTAATTTTGAGTCGGTCACACTGGATGGCTACTGTTGTGTTGGCTATTATCATTTTTTTTCATACCTCCTTTGAGGAAGTATTTTAAAGAAAAAACTCTATCTATTTTTAGAGAAAGGGAAAGAGAGGGAGAAAGAGAGGGAAAGAAACATCAATGTATGAGAGATACATCAATTAATTGCCTCTCACCTGGCCCAAAACCCAGGCACATGCCCTGACTGGGAATTGAACTGGTAACCCTTCAGTTCACAAGCTAGCACTCAATCCACTGAGCCATACCAGCCAGGGCTATTGTCATTTCTTAAATCTGACAATCTAAGGGAAAAGAGGTTAGTGCCCCTAAATAAATAGTCAGGTATTGCATGTTTTAAAAATTCTTATGGAACACAGGTTGCAAATCACTGTCCTATTGTCTTAAAATTGTAGAGCTGATTTTCTCCCATCCAAGGACTAACCAGGCCTGACCATGCTTAGCTTCCAAGATCCGATGAGATCTGGCACATTCAGGGTGGTATGGCTGTAGACTGATTTTCTAATAAAAAGACAGTTTACTGCCAACTACTGGTAAATTGTCACAACAAATTTATAAATTATAATGTCTATGGCACCCATTTAGATATGATGTCCTCCTGCAAAACACAGCTTGTCCAACTAAATGTGGTAACCAGTCATTTGAAATTGTTGTGATGAAGTCTGCAGAAAGTAGAATGTCCATGCTCTGTAGATGGTTTTGTTCTTCTTTTCTCTCATACTTGACGTTCTTTTTAAAGACATGGTTTAAGTATTTACCATCAGTCTTATCACTGCAAAGTGTAAGCCCACCTGGACAAACAAATAAAAGTAGAAGGTCAATAAATGTTAATCAAATTGTTCACATCAAAGAACAACTGATTAGCTTTTTCTTTACCCAAATCTGTATCCATTACAATCCTAGATGTCTTCAACACTTTTCTTGCTCACATCCTGTGAAGCAACCTGATAACCTCTTTTAGGGCCTCTATTAATCTGTTGCTGGTTGAGGCTTCCTAAGTGCTAGGCATTCTGCTAAACATTATAACTACTAATGCACTTAATCCTCCACTAATTCATTTAATCCTCTAATCCTAATCTGTAAGGTGCCCTTACTATCTGCACTTTACAGATGAGGCAACTGAAGCACAAAAAGGTTGTTATATTACAAGTGCTGATATTATAAAAATGCATTCTTTAGGGAGTTTTCAGTCTATTATGGACACAAAACAAAATAAAAAAATGTGTAAGGATTTAAAAAACAAACAAGAGTAAACACTTTGAACTCTGTCAGACAAGCTTTTATATCTGTTTGATCCCAGTTTTCTCATTGGTCTGACAAGGTTAGACTTGCCCAAGGTCACATAGCTGATACATGGCAGAGCTGGAATCCAAACTTGGGTATTTTGGCTCCAGAGCCCAGTCCTGTAATTATTGTGCTAACCATAGGGCCAGTCCACGGCCTCTTTCTGTTCCTTTGCTGCCTTCCTGTGGGCAACAAATATTTATGTTGCCTATACTCCTGCTATTTTCACCTATGGGATGTGTAGGTACCCAAGCGGGCCCCTGTCTCCCAACTCCCTGCATCCTTCCTAATCCCAGAAAAAATTATGACCTTCAGCATAAGGATATGGAAAACAAGGTAAAAAAAAAAAAAGACAGAATAGTGGCTCAGGTTCTGATTTATATATGAGGTCTGTCTGTAAAAAGTCCAGCCATTGTTAATATAACAAGAACGGTTTGTGCAAAATCAGTGTAGCCTGGCAGCCAAGGAGAATGGGCTGGAACATACATACCTGAACAATGACGATGTCACTGTACTTGTCAGTGGGAGTGGTAGACGCTGTTGAGTGAGCATGTGTACTGTGTGGCTATGGCTTTCAAAATGACTGAGCAAGTAGAACAAGGAACCTGCATCTAATTTTGTATTGAGCTTGAACATTCCCCCATGGAAACTATTTGGATGATACAGAAGGCCATAGCTATGGGCAACTCATGATTGGCAGCTTCATCATGACAACACACCCACTCACCCATCAAGTCTCATGCAGTTTTTTGGCAAAACATCAAATCACCCAGGTGACTTAGCCCTACAGCCCAGATTTGGTGCCCTGAGACTTCTGCCTTTTCCCAATACTAAAATACTTTTGAAAGGAAAGAAAATTCAGACCACCAATGCAATTCAGGAAAATACAACAGGGCAGCTGATGGTGAGTGACTGCGAGAACTGTGTGAGGTCTCAAGGTGCCTACTTTGAAGGGGACTGAGGTGTCATTGTCCTATGTACAATGTTTCTTGTTATCTTCTTCAATAAATGTCTCTATTTTTCATATTACATGGCTGGATACCTTCTGGACTCAATTTTTTCATCTTCCCCAAGAAATGCTGTACCTATTTAAATAGTAACTCTGTTCCCTCCTCCCTCCAACCCTTGGTAATCACTATTCTACTTTCTGTCTTATGAATTTGACTACTCTAGGAAACTTACATCAGAGGAATCATATAATATTTGCCCTTTTGTGGCTTAATGCCTTCAAGGTTTATCCATGTTGTAGCATGTGTCAAAATGTCCTTCCTTGGTAAGGCTGAATAATATTCCATTGTATGTAAATAGTTCATTTTGCTTATCTATTCATCTGTTGACAGATGAATGGATAACTAGGTTGCTTCTAACTTTTGGCTACAGCGAACAATACTGCTATGAACAGGGATGTACAAATATCCGTTCAAGTCCCTGCTTCTACTTTTTTGGGGTAAATATCCAGAAATGGAATTGCTGGATCAATCAGATGGTAATTCTATGATTAAATTTGTGTGAAATCATCAAACTTTTTCCCCACAGCCGATGCACCATTTACATTCCCACCAGCAAAGTAAAACTGTTCTGATTTCTCCATAGCCTCACCAACACCTGTAATTTTGTTATTTATTTATTTTTTAGTAATAGCCACCCTAATGGGTGTGAAGTGGTCTCATTGTGGTTTTGATTTTCATTGTCCTAATAACTAGTGCTGTTCAATATCTTTTCATGTGCTTATTGGTCATTTGTATGTCTTCTTTGGAGAAATGTATATTCAAGACCTTTGCCCATTATTAGATTAGATTTTTGCTGTTTAGTATCTTTCAGAGCGTTCTTACCTCTAGAAATTTTTGTAAGACTTAGAGGTGTATGTAGTATATGTATGTCATTTCAGCCTCTGGGCTGACTTCTGGCAGGACCTTGTCTCTGGATGAAATAACCAGGATGAAATAATCAGAGTTTCTCATTTAGTCTTTCATATTAATTACTTAATCAAGTAAATCATTAATTGTACCATTATCCAAAGAGTTGGTCTTTGGGTATGGTTGATTTCCAGGCTAACACAAAAGAGTATATGCTTATACGATTACATAAAGTTCAATAATTGTCAACATTGATCTATGATGCTAGAAATCAAAATAGTGGTTACCTCTGGGGGAGCAAGTATTGACTAGGAGGGACAATATGGCAGGGAAACAAAGGAAACTTTCTGGGTTTATCTGTAACTTGATCTGGATGGTGGTAACAAAGGAACATAGGTAAAATTTTATTAGGCATACACTTAAGATATTTGCATTTTGCTTTATGTAAATTATACCTCACTTTTTAAAAGTTAAAGAAAATACTTGAAAATTTTTTCCAGGCTCTTATTGTAAATCCTTTTGGTATTAACTTCATAGGCTCAAAGGTGTAAGGTGTCCCCTTGTGGTTCTCTCTGCCCTCAAGCCCAGCACCTACCCCAATGTCCAGGATTCATACACATAACACATATTAACTAGCGCCTCCTCTTGTGCCAGGCATTGTACTGTGTGCTGAGGAACCAGCAGTAAACAAAATGGATAATCTCCCTCTTTATGAAGCTGGCAATCTAGTGGTAAAGATGGGGAATAAATAACCTAGCACATCCTATTAAGAACAAATAAAGAAAACTGTTTGGGAAGTGGTCAGAGAAGGTACCCTTGGGGTAGCAATATTGGAGCTGGGATCTGAGTGCTGAGGAGTTATTTAAGGGGAGAGGGGGAAGGGAGAGTATTTTAGGTGGGAGGGATCAGGCTGTGTTAAAGGTCCTGAGAGAAGTACAATATGTGAAGGTCACTGTAGTTGCAGTCCAGAGAAGCAAGGAGGGCCCTGAGATATGTCTGGAGTTGTGGAAAGAGCAGCAGTAAGAAATTTATTTGGCCTTTATCTTAAGAGCAATGTGGAACCATCAGATAGTTTTAAATAGGGAAGGGGCATAATCAGATTTCTGATTTAGAAACATTACTCTCACAGCAGGGTAGAGAATAGATTGGAGGAGTACCAGAGAGGCTGTAAAAAGGCCCTGGACAGTTTGAGCATCAGGCCTAGCATAAAGTGTGTGCTCAATAAGTAATTGTGGACTAAAAGAACTCCTGACTTTTTTTCTTAGGTGAAACCAGTATGCCTGAGCTTTGCGATAAGGTTACAATCCACCTGCTCATCTCCTGTCTTCTGTGATGCTTTTGTGGTAACAGACTCTTAACTCCCATTTTACAGGTGATGAAGCTGAGGTTCAGAGGCAAAGAAAAACACACAGCTATCAAGGGTGAAAGCCGGATCTGAATCCAGGCTTGTAGTCAGACATCAAATCCAGTGTTGAGGAGGCTCCCCTACATTTGAGGAGGGGGAAGGCATCTGCTGAGCTTGCTGGAGTGATGGTGATGGGAAAATGTAGAGAGGGACTTATAGGCAAATGATAATAAAGGCTAAAGATTGTATTTATCACCATTAAAGTTATTACACACTATATGTCAGATGCTGTACCAAGTGTTTTACATGCCGTGGCTCATTTCCTCTTTGGAAGCACTATTATCCCCATAGTTCAGATGGGTAAACTGATGCCTGAAGAACTGAGTTGCCCAAGAACACTCAGTCAGAAGCCTCTCATAGGGCTGTACAGTGACTCTGAGGTGGGGGCAGGAACCACTGGTATATTTCAGCGCCATGCGACAGACAGAGCCATTGGGTCGAGGTACCAAGCTCTGCACTCAAGTGAACGGGTGCACGCTCCGCCTCGCGCACTTAGAGACGTTTGGCCACGTGACCAGACCCCACCCACCCTGGTCCGCCCCGCCCCCGCCCGCACTCCCTCCCTCTCTCCCTCCCTCCCCCTCCCTCCCCGGCCCGGTCCGGCCCATCCCCCTCCCCACCGGCTCCCTGAGGCCCTGCCGGGTCGGGCTGCTGGCAGCCGGGCGCCGACGGCCGGACAGACGGGCGCACGCGAGAACAGACGGACGAACTCACGGAGGGCCGCGGGCACGCACGGCCCGGGCCGGTGCTCCGAGGCCCGCCCGGGAGGGCTGGGGCCGCGCTCAGGTGAGGTGACGGCGACGCGAGCCCGTAAGGGGTGGGCCCGCCGGCCGCCCGCGTTCTCGGCCCGGCTAGCTCCGCTGGAAGGAGGCACTGCCCGGGCCTGGCGCGGAAAAATGGCGCCGACCGACCGTAGAGCACGGCCCGTGTAAGGGCCCAGCCCGGAGCCGCCCCGCCCGCCCGCCGTGCTCGTGTCCCCGTCGCCATGTTGGGGAGCGGACCCCGGGCCTGCGGGCGGGGGCGCTGGAGGGAGCTAGGGCTCGGCCGGGTTTGGAGGGGGTGCCGGACGCGCGGTTGGGGCGCTGAGGAGAGTGCAGGGCGGGCCAGGGTCTGCACGGGGTGGTGCTTCAGGCCCGAGGAACTGGCGGAGCCGGACGTGAGGTCGTGGCCAGGTCGCAGACAAGGTCCAAACGGAACCAGGGTGGGGGTCCATGGAGATTGGCGTGGCAAGACCTGGCGCTGGGTTAGGCTATGGCAGTGTTCAGGACCCCAGAGCCCGTAGGCTCCGGAGGAGCGTGGGGCTCGAGCTCAGGCTGTCAGGACTGTGGCAGTTCTTTGGGCGGGGAGGAAGGGACTGCTTAGAAATGGGGGCTCTTTGGGTATCAGATTGGGGCAGTCATTAGAGTCGCGGGGCTGAATTGTAAGACCGTATAACTCAAAGTGCCCCCCGGATCCTCCATTCTTTTATTGGGGGAGCAACATAAAAAGGAAAGGGATTGATAAAGAAGAGAAAAAAGAGAGACTGAGGTTTGGGTGCAGGAACTGGCCAGCAAAACGGGTGCAAGAGAATGGAATTGGTTGGCAAAAAGAAAGTGTCTCCATCAACTTAGGTAGTTTATGTGTCTTTAAAAGGAGGGACCGGGCTGTTTGTGGGCGGTGACCCAACGTGTCTTCCCAGGAAGGGGACAGCCCACTGTTTTAAGAGCAGGGTCACCTGGGAGGTCATCAGAAAGGCATTATTGAAACCAGTAAGAATAGTGAAGGAGTGAGTGTGTAGAAAATACAAAGGTCTTAGAGATCCTGTAGCAAGTTCAGGTGATTTTATGAGAGACATATATAGAAAGGTGAAGTTGACTTCTCAAGATCTTAAAAGTTATTGGCAGGGGAGCTACTGGCACTCAGGTCTTCTGCCTCATTCAACACACTGCCTTAGATGAATATGCTAGCAGGCAGAAAAATGTTAAGTCAAACATAGCAGCTTATGTCAAAGAACTATTTTTTTTCTGTCATAAGTTTGTGTTTGTCAATTCAGAGGCTGAGGGGGATACAAAAAGTATAGGTAACCAGCTATTTGATCATTTCCAGCCTACCTCCATTTGTGGAAAGTTATTTTCAGGACCTTTTTGACTCTAACTTCTAGAGTTTTAAGAGATGCTCCTTCTCTTCTAGGTGTTTATTATACAATAAAGGGACATAAAAAGCCTTTTAATAAAGTGGGTAGTGGTAGACACCCAGGATCACTATCGTGATCTAACTTCAGTTAAAGGGAAGAATTGAAAGTTCAGATGGGCTGTGGGAGAGTTCTGAGGGAAAACTATGCAAATCAATCAGGATAGAGTTCTGGGGCTCCCATACAGTCAAAAAGGACTTAACTTTTTTTTTAATTTACTGATTTTAGAGAGGGGGGAGATAGAGAAACATAAATTTGTTCCACTTATTGATGAATTCATTAGTTGATTCTTGTATTCGCCCTCACCCCCTACAACCTAACCAACTGAGCTACCCTGCTAAGGCCAAAAAGAACTTTCAACAAAAAGGTTATGAGGATGTTCATAACAATAAGATTTTCAATATACATTCAATATGTGTATGTATACCATATGTATATAAAGCAACATGATTCATTTGTTCTGGGTCTTTCTAACTCAGGAAGGCCCAACTTTGTGCCATGGGCCCTGCTAACATCTAGTGAAGCTTATGTATTTTTAATAACATAAAACAAAATACAGTTAATGATAAAGAAAACCAATTATATTGAAATATGATAGTTTTTATTGATTTTAGAGAGCAAGGGAGAGACAGAATTTTTATTCTTTTTTTGTGTATGTTTAAAGATTTTATTTATTTATTTTTAGAGAGAGGGGAAGGGAAGAAGAGAGGGGGAGAAATTTATGCGTGAGAGAGAAACATTGATCTGTTGCCTCTGGCATGCTCCTCAGCTGGGGACCTGGCCAGCAACCCAGACGTGTGCCCTGACTGGGAATTGAACCACTGACCCTCCAGTTTGTGAGGTAGCACCCAACCCACTGAGCCACACCAGCCAGGGTAGAATTCATTTTCTTAGTCAAGTTCATGGGTCCCCCACCCCCTGAATTCTATCTGTGGACTCCTGTCTATGAAACCCTGTCCCTACCACAAAGTATGTCTTCCATTCAACATACATTTACTGTGTGCTAGATGTCAACTGCATGTGAAGCATTATGGTAAACTTTGAGGATTCAGAGGACTTTAGGGCAGTGTCTTTTCACTTTGGTTATTCAGTCCCATGAGAGAAGTAGACATGTAAACAGTTGTAAATGCCAGAGGAGAGTTATTAAGGGTTGTATGGACACACAAGTGGGCATGTCTCTGCTCTAGGAATCAGGGAAGGTTTTGTGAAAGGGTGCCATGAAATGTGAAGGAGTTTGCTAGATGGAAAGTTGGAGAGAAAAGTATTCCAGGCAGAGTCGTGCATTTTTAGGGAATGTGACTGAATGTGGCCAAAGTGTGTGTGTGTGTGTGTGTGTGTGTGTGTGTGTGTGTGTGTGTGTGTTAGAGAGAGAGAGAGAGAAGGAGGAAGGGAGGAGAGAGAAGAATGGAGAATGAGACAGGGAAGGTTGATTAGAATATGGTCCTGAAGGATTTTACTAAGGAGTTTGGACTGAATCCTTAGCTGATCAGAGGCATTTTCAAGGTCTTTGAGGAAGGGGCTGTAAGATTAGATTTAATTTTTAAGAGACAAATGGATGTTTAGTAGGAGGGTGAACTGGAGAGCAGGGAAGAAGTAGTGAGGACTTGAACTAAGGCAGAGACTTGGAGCATTGAACAACATTAGAATTTGCAGGTGTTGATAATTGATATTGTGAAGGGTGAGAGAGTGTTTTAGATTCCTAGTTTGGAATGGTGGCTGTTAAAGAGGTTAAATAGATGAAAGGAAAATGAGGTGAGAATTGTCACAGATAATAAGGGAGAAGGTGTTTTTTGTCAGTAATTGACTTGGAAACCATTGCAAAACTGTTGAATGTGTAGTTTTTGCTTCAGGAAATTAGAGGTGTCAGCAGACATAAAAGTCAGGGAAATATAGGGGAAATATTCCTAGAGTGTAGGGAAATCACAACTGCGGCAGGGGTCCACAAGCTATGGCCCACGGGTCAAATATGGCCTGCCACCTATTTATGTAAAGTTTTATTGGAGCACTAGCACACTTATTTATTAACATATTGTCTTTGGCTGCTTTCACACTACCAATGGTAGAGTTGAGTGGTTGTGACAGAATATGTAGCTTATTACAAAGCTGAAAATATTTACTGTGTGGCCCTTAACAAAGACATTTGCCAGTTCCTGATCTGTGTGTGTCTTAATGTTGAGTGTTCAACTTCTGTTTAGCATTCTAGTTTCTGTATGATGGAGAATAACCATTTTGGCTCTGTCCTCTGTCCTTCTGGCCAGTCCTGCATGCTCTGTGTACCAGCAGCGTGACATAGACCCCTGAATATTTTATATCAGTCAGTGACGCCAAGGTCTGCTGTTCTTAGTTCTGCTGTGTGGCAACTATGGTAATGCCAGATTTTTACAGTTTAGACAATGCTGGGGCTTGTTTTGCCGTTTTTCTATTTGGGGTCGTGTTTTTCAAAAGATTTCTTTATTTTTTCTGATTATTAATCCTTTGTTGGTTATATGTATTACAGATACCATTTCCCATTTTGATGTTAACCTTTTAAATCTCTTTGTCTTTTCTTAAAAAGAAATTCTGAATTTTAATAAAGTCTATCCCCCCCCACCAAGATTTTGAGGTTATTCTTTATATTGTCTTCTTGAATCCGTACTGATTTGTTTTTGATGTTTAGATCTGTAATGCATCTGGAGTAGACTTTTGTGTGTGGTTTCAGGTATGGTCTGGTTTCATTTTTTTCCCCATGTACAACTAATTTTCCCAGCACCATTTATTGAGTGGCTTTTGTTTTCAAATTGTGAGTTCTTTTGGTGGACTCTGAGGTTCTAATTCTAGCTCCACTGCTTGCTAATTTGTTACCTTGGACAAGTTGCCTCTGTTTCTTGACCTTTAAACTAGAATAATAGTATTTAACTTATAGGGTTGTCATGAAGATTAAGTGAGTTAGTTCATATAATATGTAGGAATGTGTGGCACCTAGAAATTGCTCAGTAATGTTACCTGTTATTTAGCATTATTGTTATATCTGATTCCTAGCAGTAAGCACAGAGGTGAGGCTTGATATGCTCAACATAATTGTAGAATTAGTTTGGTTTTCAGGACAATACAGAATGGTTGAGAGCTAGGCTAAGGATTGTAGGAGATGCTTCTAGGTCGTCCTGGTTTTAGGTGCTTCCTTAGACTGTCGGCTGAAATGGAACTCCTCCCACCCTAACACTTATTCTATAGAGAACTTCAGCAGTGTATGCGAACTGGCAGCCTGTGTTTGGATTTGACCTGCAGACACCTTTTGTTTGGCTCATACAATATATTTTTTGTACACCTCATACAATATATTTTTTATGACTTTACTTATTTATTTTTAGAGAGAGGGGAAGGGAGGGAAAAGAGAGGGAGAAAAACATTGATCAGTTGCCTCTCCCAGAGCCCAACTAGGGACCTGGCCTGCAATCCTGACCAGGGAATCAGGAATCGAACCCAGGACCTTTTGGTTTGTAGGCTGGTACTCAGTCCACTGAGCCACACCAGCTAGGGTTCATACAGTATTTTTAATGTCTAAAAAATTTATATAAATTTCTGAGTTTCTAACATCTTGAAAAATTAGAAGATCTTTCAACACCAAGCCCACATTCTCTCAAACAATACTATAAAAGCTGAAGCTTTTAGGTGGATATGTAGTTCCTGGTTTCCTTCATGATCCTCATACTCACTTGCTTTGCACATTTACTTTTATCACCCTGTAGGCATTTAATTTTCTGGTTCTTACCGAGGTTTTAAATATTATCTCTCCTAAATCAATAAATGACATATTGGGATAGGGTCAGGACAGAAATTTGACAAATGAGTTTGTGGGCAGGAAAAACTAAAATCTGTTTCTAAGGCTGACTCATACTTAACATAATGAATAAAATAACTGAAATTAAAAGATGAGGTGAAATTTAGTTCAAATCCCT